AGACTTCAAAACGAGTTCTAATATTAATGTCTTTGGCTCCAAACGGATCCCTTAATGATTTCATCGACAAAACCACAGATCCTTTGGACGAAAATGAGACCAGAAAATGGGCGCAAGAGTTGATGAGCGGGTTGTGTTACCTTCACGTCAATGGTATTGTTCACAGAGATCTGCGGACAGGTTTAAAATTAGGTTTAAGATGATTTTCTTGATGAAATTCATTTCAATAATCAATTGCAGACCAAATTCTATTAACTAAAGACAATTGCCTGAAAATAAGTGGTTTAACTCAATCAAGACTTTGGATAAATCCTAAAGACAATAGTGTTGTAAAGAGTATGAAAACCATCGGTTCAATGGCTTATTGCTCACCAGAGGTACGCCTATAGAAATAAATACAATAATTATGTGATACCGTAATAGTTATATTAAATTGATATAAATGTTTAAATTATTGCCAGTCTTTGACGGGAGAAGGTTTTGATCCGAGAACTGCTGATGTCTGGTCTTATGGTGTGATTGTCTTCTATATATGGAATAAAAGGCATAAATATTAAACATATTTATTATTTAAGACATTAACTCATGTTTTGATGAAATAGTTATCCCTTTGACTACAATCATATGCAAACACTTTTGGCTCAACAGAGGAATAACGAATGGAATCAACGAATGAGAAAAGATTCAAATGATTTGATTAAAGGATTCTTTCAAAAGATATTTGATTTGAATGTCAGTCAAAGACAAANNNCAAACAATCGTTGCACTGCTTGAAGACAAATGGGTTGACTGTAAACTGACTGTTGCTGGCAATGGAAACACTGAAGATAGAGATCATAAAACTACAAAAGTTATCAAAGAAAGTACTGATAATAAGACAAATGAAACAAAAGTTGAGATCAAATCTATACCTGAGAGTGAGTCCAAAAACAGCGATAAAATTAGTGATAAAGTTAAGCCCAAAGATGAATCAAAAAGTAAGTAAAATAATGCATTAAAAAATTGATTAAAAATATTATTTACGATACAGATGTGGATAAAAAGGAGGCGACAGAGGATGACAGTGACGATCAGGATGTGGAGGGTGTGAGCGATGATGAAAGCGACGAAGACATCGGAGCAAAGAAAGAGAGTAAAGAAGAAGTGAAAAGTAAATCCAATTCAAATGAACCGCAAATGAAACCAAAGGCTGAGAATAAAGTTGACAAACAAGACATTAAAAGTGATGACAAAAAGGTTTCGAAGAGCAAAAAGAGTGCCCAAAAATCAAAGACCAAAAACAAGAAAATGAATAAAAATTCAAAAACAAAATCAGATGAAGAGAGAGTCATCTCAGATGTTAAGGAAAAGAAGGATAAATTGAAGTCAAAAGATGACAACGAAGACAAAAATGAAGAGAAGTCAGCGAAGAATTTGGATAAAGAAAAAGAAGAAGGAGTTAAAGAAAAGAGCGATAAATTGAAATCAAATGACGAGAAAGAAGACAAAAATGGAGAGAAATCGGCGGAGAATTTGAATGAAAAGAAAGATGACGTTAAGGAAAAGGACGACAAACAAGACGTTGAAAAGAAAAAGAGTGGAAATGAATCCAAAAGTGATCGTAAAGTAATAAAAGCAGATATTTTAGAGACACTGAAAACAGAATTTCTAAAAATTCAATAACATTTTCAATTTGTAATAAAATTTCTTTATCTTATATATGAATACAAATCCTTTTGAATTTATATAATTTTATTTATGATTTAATAATAGCTACTTAAGAATTAGATAAACATTTTTTATTAAAATAAATATTTAAAATTTTATATTCATTAAACATCTATTATTATTATTCTATACAATAATTATTTGATTATTTGTGGCAATTATTATCATTTGTTTGGCTGTTTGGGACTTTTCTCCTCCTCATTGATCTTTTCCTTTGGCTTCCACTCAAACACTTCGCTGTTAACAGGACTTAGAGTTGACGTCGAGATGATAATACTCTGCACATCAGTGGACGGCATATCAGACATAATCACTGAGGGCTCTGTCTTCATAGTAATTTTGCTCTTCTTTTTGACAACTCTTTGTTGTCTTCTCGTCACTGGTTTAGGTCTTGTGAACACAAATATTAAGATAAACACAATTACCACCACTAATAGACTCAAAATGATGCCAATGACTGTGGACGGGAGGTATGATTCTAAACCCTCTATAGAATGACCGGTCGATGCATTGGGACTATGATTGCCATTGGTTATGGGATACCAATTGGTTGGCACAGTGTCTGAGCTGTCAGTAGGTTTTAAGGGTTCCACCGGCTCTGGGATTTGAATAGTGTATGGATTCATATCATTATGGGATTGGGTTTCTGTGTTAGGACCAGGAGTTTGGAATTGATTTATAGGGATAGCAGTTGTCGCCATAAAAGTGGTTTGTCTTTCAGACACTTTTATAACACAAATCTTTTCTTATATTAACCAACGAATGAATATACGTTAAGATATGAATTGAACAATTATTGAAGTGAATATTTTGAATTATATTGTAAATTACAATTGGTAACAGTGTGTTTGTGAGACCTTAGCCGTTATTAAATTGTTGTCAACAATTAAAACAATTAGTCATTGCTTTACATTAACATCGGATATACTTCTCAACTTAAATAGGGTTATCAATAAATAGGGTTACCTGTCCCAACATAGATTCTGATTAGATCCTGATTTAGACCCTAGATTCTAGACATTACTAATGTCTTAGTTAAAAAAAACTATTGTTATAACGTGATAAATAAATAATATTATACAAAAGATTTGTCTTTACAATCAAAAGGCCGTTATTTATCAAAATAAGTTATTTCAAATAACTCATAAATAAATTTGTATTCAACTCAGGGGAAGACTACAATTTAGGTGTATTTTTAGCTCAAAGACAACAAGATTTTTGGATTACTCTTCAAAAGGATTTCATGGAAACTAAATCCAACCACAGTTTGAAAGATCCTAAACTGAAAGGTGCGGACGAATCAAAACTCAAATCTAACGAAAGTCTCAAAAGTGCAGAAAATACCAAAAGTATAGGCGAAGTGGAAGCGCCTAAGAGTCCTGAGAGCCGACTGACACACAACTCGAATCCACTCAAGTCTGACGATCAGATGTTAGACAAGGATCCGCTCAAAGATGAGAGACGGCTTAAGTTTCTGAAGCGAATTATCAGCCATTTGTGTCTTTTGGTGCTCATTCTGGCCCTCAATTCTGTAATTCTTGGTGTCTGTGCCCATGTCTTCTACGTCGGCAAAACCCATTTAGTCATCTTCGGCGTCCT